CGCAACGAGGTAGCTTTGATGGATTTTATGATGGCTGCAACTATGAGTGGTGGGGTGATTACTCGCCTTCCACAACTTTTGCTAACCCACAACAGCATTTATCGAGTTCGATCACATCTCTTGAAGAAATTGTTAAGTCGTTTGCACTTAGCACTTTACAGTTTCAGCAAGAGACTAGGAGTAGCCTTAAGAATCTTGCAGATCAATTGGACCAACTTGCGTCCTCAGTGAGCGAAAGCGCATCTCGAGTTGAATTGTCATCAGAAACGGTGGTAGATACCTCGAGTTGTGGAACAGAGTTGACAGAATCTCTTAAGATGGAGCGAGAATTCATGGAGGAATCTGAACAAGTTGTTGTTTTCCAGTCTCAAAGTGATATGCCTCCTAGTAATTTTATGGGTGTTGGTGAATTTGAAGTGCCTAAAATTCTTGACTCGAGTGATTTGGATAAGTTGAAAGTTTTACTTTTCAATGATTCAACCTTTTATACTTCACTAGAGTTTCAAGATAGCTTTTATGAATCATATTGCTTTTCTCTAGCTGATACCATATCACATGTTACTTGTACTGATGATTCATATTTTATTTTGCAGGTGTCTGAATTGTCGCTATTGATTGTTGAGAATTTGATCAAGGATCAAGAAGAACAAAGTCTTTTGCATGAGTTGAAAAAAATTAAAAAGGGAATTGGTTGAGTCCCAAAAATGATGTCTAGCCGAAGACATTAAAGAAAGGCGCTTTTGGGAGGCAACCCAAATATTTTTATTTATTTAATTTTTTTTTTATGTTTATTTTCTATTTGATTTTTATTTTTTCATAGGTTAGTATTTGGTAATTTTGATAGGAATTTTGAATAATTTAAGATAGGAACGATTTTTTTAGGACCTGGGCACATGTAAAATGTATTGTCGGTCTTCATACAAGCCGTGGTCACGCCTTATAGGAATTCGTTCCTGGTTTTATTAATAAATCCTACCAGGTTTTTCAATTTTCTTTAAATAAAAAAAAATCAAAAAATTCAGATATCAGTTCTACGAAATAACTCTTCTCCTTCCCAGGCTCCACTACTAATCCTCTTTCCTCTCTTTTAGGGAAAATCGCGATTCCCGTCCACCTGCCGTGAGGAGCGCAATTACCTTCTGAAATTTCTCGTCGGGGACCCCACGTCTCTCCGTTCATGTCCGTCGCTTGCAACCAGCAAATCAAAGATCCAAAAAATCCGGCGACTGGAGTTCTCTGGAGGGACCCGCTGCTCCTTTTCCGGCGTAACAGACCGTCTGTTGCATCTTCTCCGGCAGAACGCGACCTTCAGGAATGCCCCGAGAAGCCGACATCAGCCGAGGTTCCAACCAGAAAGACGATCAGAAAATCCAGGCGAGTGTTCTCCCTCAGAACCCTGACCTTCCTTTTCCAACGAGAACCACCTTACACCGTAAAACCTGTAAACGTGACTGTCATCCACCGTCTGTGAAGAGCGCGGTAAGATTCCAGCAACCGGCGAGTTCGATGGTCCTCTGCTATTCTCTCGCGAAGGATTGCACCATCTTCAAACTTGGCCGCTATTCCGAAATCTTCGTGAGGAACCTCGCGCCCAGACCCAATTGGTAGCGTAAACGAGCTGGTCGAACCACCGCTGAGACCAGCGACCGGACGCACGTACAACTCTTCCGCTTTCAGTCATGCCACCACCTCTGTCTCACCCGTCCTCCATCCACATCTTCACGTTTAATTTTTTGGCAGACCGTGCGACCTCCTCTTGTCCTGGAAGCATTAATGGCTAAATCGCCACCGTCGGTCCCGATTAACGAAGCTAGTTGATGTCCGCTCAGCCCTTTAAACAAACGTGGAGGATTTCAAGTTCGGTGGGCCCAACCAGGAGTACGAGTAGCCAAGCATAATTAAAACGGGCTCAACCCTTCACTCATCCGAGTCTAATTCTCCATGGCTACATACAATGCTCGAACCGTTGAAAAATGCAACCGGATGCTCTACGCCATCAGGGGAGTTTTCTACTTCTCTTGCACTTATTTTCTATATGTTTCTTGAGCGTTGCTTGAGCATTGAGTTTCCGCCATTGAGGACAATGTCAATTTTTAAGTGTGGGGTGGGGTCACTTGTTGAATTGGTGTCGCATTTTATTTTGCTAGAATTTTGAGGTTTATGTTCTTACGTGTTGAGTTATATTTATTGTTGCTCTTGTGGTTATTCTTGATTCATTTGGTTCCAATCCGGTAAAAATTGATTTTATTTGCACATGAAAATGATATTGGAGTCCTTGTTGCTACTTGGTGATTGATTACTCTTGATGGTTAATTGACGGACGAATGCATGTGATTCGACACATATTACCTTGTTTTTTGTGAGATTTGAGCTTATGAGCATACATTGAATATCATGCTCCATTTCCTTGATTGTGTGTTATCATGACTAGTCGGTTTTTCTAGAACTTGCTTTGGTATGCACGTCTTTGTTTACCTTTGATGAATTTGGATGCACGATATCTTAATAAGGGTATTAGGATTAGCCCTTTGTTTTTAGCCTTTTTCTTGGAAGCCTACCCTTTACATTGACCCCTAGTGAGCCAAGTTTGAGCCTTAACCTTTTCTTTGGATTTAGCCACGTTACAAGCCACTATATTCCTTTTGTTGATATCCTATTTTGAACCTTGAATTGTAGCAATTA